GAAGGGGGTAGGGGGGGAAAGACGAACCACGAACGAGTGAAGCTGCTGCCAGGGCAAGAGTGTACCAGACGTAGAACTGGGGAAGGGGGGGCGGGGAGGGGATAAAGCGGGGTATTTATAGAATGCATGAGTCGCCTGCCGACGTCCGACGGCGGGGAAGGGGAGGGAGGAAGCCGTGCAGGTTTTCTTGTCGAGGTTGAGGTTTCGGGCCCCCTAACCTCACACCCACTCACCCACCGTCCTTATCGACCTTGGCCAGGGGAATGTAGGCGATGCCCCGGCCCCGCGACGCGTTCTGATCCAACAGAAATAACTGTAACGGTTCCGGTTGGCCGTTGGGATCCAGCTCCGGCTGCCCCGAGGGCCCTATCCTCTTGGCGCACCGCAACTGAAAGTCAACGGAATTCATGTGGGCGAACTTCCACTTGTAGAGCCGCTCGCAGGTGCCGGTAACGTACAGGTCCTCGTAGCCTGCATTAATTAGGGGGTTGGGTGGGTGGGTGGGGTGGGAGGGGGGAGAAAGCGCGGAAGAAATGCGTACGTGCATATGTGTGTGTGTGCCTTAATGCGTGTGTGCATTTTAATGCACCCAGCCGAGAGGAGGAGGGGACATTGGAGATGCTGGATGTGCGGAGTTGTTCAGAAAATGCAGATGCTTTGCGCTATGACGATGGTGGTAGCGGTGGTGGTAATGATGGGGTTTCAGGGTGATGTACACATACACACATACACACAGGTACATACATACATACATACATATATATACGTACATATATACATACATATATACATATACATATATACATATATACATTGGGGGGGCGCCGAGCTGGCTACCCTCCCCCCCTGTGGTTTCCGGAGGCTTGATCGCCCGGCGTGGCCGCAGGGTCTTCCCGTTTGAGTACTTTTCAAGTTAGACCCAGTGCTGTGGAAGGGCGCGGACTTGTGCGGTGGTACCCCCTCGACGGGGGCTATCTCCCCTGGACTAGCCCAGGGAGGGAGAGGCGGAGGAGGGTAGTAGTCTCAGGAGGCTGTTTGGCGTCTTGTGGTGTGAGCTCTTTGCGCTCTTTTTTGCGTGAGGATTTTTGAGCTTGGTGACCTCCCCAGCCCGGGATGACTCGTCGGGCTCCCGGTCGCCCAGGTCCTGGTAGCGAGCTCTCTGAGATGCTCGGTTCGTTCGTTCGGCAGGAAGAGCCCCCCAGTTGCGACTTCGTTTATGTTAGGAGACCAACGGGCATAGATCCCGTCTAGTTGGAGCGCCAAACAAGCGCTGTTGCGTGCCGGCCGTCGTTTCCCGTGCGGCCTGACCCGGGGGCGGAGTGCATGAGACTGACCAGCCGTATGCACCCGCCCCCCGCGCTGTGTTTCGGCCCTGGGCCCCCGGCTTTTCAGCCCACAGTGTAATCAACGTCATACATACATACATACACACCTTGCAGGATGAGCCCGTCGCTTTCGTGGCCAATGTTGTGCGGATCATTGAAGCGCGCGAACACCTTGTCGATCTGGAACACCGGCCAAAATTCCTTGCGCCGTACACTGAAGCGCTCGGCCGTATAGTCGTACGCCAGCGGCGGGGCGTCGTACTCGGCACGTGCCGGGTCGAAGGGCACGTTTCGCCATCGGTCGATGTACTGGCGTTCGAGGTTACGCGGCCCGACGACGTCCGTGTCGATGGCCCGGTAACGTTCCTGTTCGTGCGTATGTACTTCTGTGTGTAATGTGATTTTAAGAATCTGAGTTAGGAGGGCTTCTGCGCGGCCGGTGTGGGGCCCCGCTACGCGTGTGTATGTATGTATGTATGTATGTATGTATGTATGTATGTATGTATGTATGTATGTATGTATGTATGTGGGGGGTCGCGGTGCAGCTGTGCCATATGCGTGTACGTGTGCTTGTTTTACATCGGGCCAGTTACCCTTCGCCGGGATGCGATGCACAGCTGCTTTCAACAATGCGGACCT